GCCCGACCTGAAACCATTTTCTGAACCTTGTGGAACAGAATGTTACATGCATTTGGTAAGAAACGATGAAATAACGCTCCTAATAGAATAAAAACGCGATCATGTTAATGTGCAAATGTATCTTAATTATTTCATCAGGAGGGGATGAAAGAAAAACTCGCAGCACAAGCTGCCGATATCAAAGACGAGGAAAGTGACGAGAAACGCGGAGCTCCTAGGAAAGTAAGAAAACAGGCGAGTGTTGATTCAGGAAATGAAGCGAGCAGCGAAGATAGTAACGATAGCAATAAATATAGTCAAGGAGGTGGTTGCCAAGGTGAGATTATTCGATGTGAGCCTTATTAAGAGGAAACGATGAGTATACGTGCAAAATATATATTTTAAACAATAACATATATAGAGCTAATGTTGGCTTTGCATTACGTTAGATTTTAAACAAAACGTGAATAAAGAAACAAAGCCGGAGGAGTCGGTAGAAGATCAAGCACAGCCGGAGAATCAGGTGCCGTTTACGCTTCTCGGTCTCGATAAGCGTGTCAAGACGGAAAACGAACTTTCGTGGACCGGTTCAGAGCAAAGTTTGTTTCGTGCCCTTCACAAAGCCTTTCCTGGTAATCCATGCGCATTAGCACAAATAATGTTGACGAAAACTTGTCAGGAAGTGTATCGATTCGCGCAGAAAGAAGCTTCGGACATTCCAGCGATCGAAAACTTGAAAGACTTTACACCTCCACGAAAGAAAAAAAAGAAGCATCGACTTTGGTCGATGCATTGTAGGAAGATACAGCTAAAAAAGGATTCCGGTAACACTAAAACGCAATAGATACTACGTACTTGATAATAAATTTAAGAAGATTATTTTACTTGATGATATAAACGTTAAATATTTCATAATGTGGTAATTATTTCTTTTAAAAGGTGCTAATCACGTGCACAATTTTGCGCCGTGCGATCATCCAGGAAGACAGTGCGACAACTCGTGTCCGTGTATACAGGCACAGAATTTTTGCGAAAAGTTTTGTCAGTGTAGCAGCGAATGTCAAAACAGATTTCCAGGATGTAGATGTAAAGCTCAGTGCAATACGAAGCAATGTCCGTGTTACCTAGCCGTAAGGGAATGTGATCCAGATCTCTGTCAGACTTGCGGCGCAGATCAATTTCATATTACGAAGATATCTTGCAAAAATGTCAGCGTTCAACGCGGTCTGCGTAAGTCACAAACATTTCTGGTCTAAGGTAAATAAACATGTTTGAATAGAGGGAAAATTTGAAAATAATTTTCAGATAAGCATCTTTTAATGGCACCATCCGACGTTGCTGGTTGGGGAATATTTCTCAAGGAATCTGCGGCCAAAAACGAGTTTATTTCCGAATATTGTGGTGAAATAATTAGCCAAGATGAAGCTGACAGGAGGGGCAAAGTATACGATAAATACATGTGTAGTTTTCTGTTTAATCTGAACAATGGTAAGAAAGAGGGAAATAAAAAGGGAAGGAGAAAGAGAAAGAAAAGCGTTTAAAAGTTGTATGGATTCGTAAAACGTAATAAGCTTCAAATGCCTTACTTGTAGACTTTGTTGTGGACGCAACGAGGAAGGGAAATAAAATACGGTTTGCCAATCATTCGATAAATCCTAATTGTTATGCAAAAGTAATGATGGTGAACGGTGATCATAGAATAGGTATTTTTGCTAAGAGAGCTATTCAACCGGGCGAGGAACTGTTTTTCGATTACAGGTAAAAATTGAAACAATTCAATTTGCTCTCAAAGAACTTTGCACATTTTAGAATTCTGTACGTTTTTTGTTTGTAGATACGGTCCAACGGAACAATTGAAGTTCGTCGGTATTGAACGCGAAATGGAATTTTTGTAACTTCTTACACGAAACGAGTGAAACGAATCGTACAATACTGTAAAAAGATTGTTGATTATTAACGAGAAGCGAAAAAAAAAGAAAATTAAGAAACTAAATAGTTTCCATGATGGGTACCTGACGCCACAAATTTATTGGATAAGCTTTACTTTTCACGCTATCAAAATCCAAATAATATGTGATGGACGAGCTTACGTTAAAGTTGCGAACTCTCTCGTCGCTTTAATGATATCGGTCAATAAAATAAAATATGTTTTAAAAAGTGTTTAAACAGTGTTTCTTTCTTTCTCTATTCTAGAATAAAACATTGTAAACGGTAAAATGAATCTTTTTATCCAAACGCGGTAGCTTATGAGGAATGTACTTTCTGGTAATTTTTCATTGGAAAATTGTGATCAATAGAATTCTAAAGCGTTTTTAGCATAACGTAAACAAAAAATTATCAAATCGACCAGTGATAAGGCGACCAGAGACGATTGGGGGGCACGCATTTGAATCCTCGAGCAATTTTTTTTT